ACTATTCATTGCAAATCATCCACCTGAGCTACAAATCTTCTCTATTAGGCAAATCATTTGATGATCAGATTACAATTCTAAGGATCGTCATCGTCATCACGGAAGAAAGCATGGAATGACAGTCAAATATCACTCTACCTCAACTTACTTCATCGACTATGAAAAGGCCTTTCGACGGACAGTGTTGACCGAGAAGTAATTTAGAAACTACTTCAACACTACAGCGTGCAACGCCCAAGTCTTTATCAACCTCATTCAGCCACAGCTGGGTATATGGCAATGCCACGTGTCAGGTGATCCACAACTGAAAACGCATTGAGGCGTTCGAAGTGAGTACAGGAGTAAGATTAAGCTGCTTGCCTATTATCACCAATGATATTCCTAATTGTGGTGGACTGGATTATGCGTCAGACTATTGTTCATGGGGAGTGAGGAGACAGGAATACTTTGGACCACCGATAAGAAGACTTTGGAAAATCTCGATTTCGAGGCAGATGATTCATGTCTAGTGTCACACAAACTCAAAGACTTAAAGGAGAAAACCAACAAACTGGCTGAAGAAGCAGGCAGCGGAGACAGGACTCCAGGTGAACATAAAGAAGACGGACGGAGGTGATGAAGATACCCCACTGACCAACAGCAACAACAACCAGGACCAATCACCATCATCGGCTGAGATTTAACACAGGCTGCTTCCTTCACTTATCTGGTTAGGAGGCATCGTTTCAACCACAGGCAGGCGGAAAGGATGAAGATGTCAAAGCCAGCCAGTCAGAATCGGAAAGGCAAGATACGTCTTCATCAACCTGAAATCGGTTTGGAAATATTCTGCACTCCGCCTCAGCATAGGGAACAAGATTCGGATTTTCAACACCAATATCAAGTCGGTTCTTCTATACAGGTCAGAAACTTGCACTGCATGCCACGAAAGGGATTTCCAACAGGTTTTACACTTTCATCAACAGCTGCCACCTTCACTGGCTGGCTCCACACTGAAGATGAAATGGCCAGCTGTCCAGAAAGAATTAGGAACAAGAAGCTCTGGTGGGCGACTAACTAACCAAGAGCCGATCCCTCAACAAATATGCAGGAGAAAATGGAGATGGATGGATCGGGCATACGCCACTGAGGAAACCGTCGAATGACACTGCATCCAATACAGGTCATCTCTCGAGTGGAATCCAAATGGGAAGCACGTGACGAGCGGGTTATCAGTGCGAGGATGACAAGGAGGAGAAGGAAATAAGAGATTATGGGCGATTACGGACCCAGTTGAAGAGGACAGCAGAAAATAGAACAAAGTGGAAATGCATTGTTGAAGCCCTATGTTTCACTCGGAACCCAAGGAAATATTAATAAAGATATAGATACATACATAAATATGTATATCAGCTGCGAGCGTATCGAACTGCAGAGGGGTGGATTTAGAGAATACGATGCTTTTGATGGTCATGCTTTTGAAACAGCATGAAAAAAACTTGAAAGGAAGACAAAGAAGTACAATACGAAAGATTTGTGAAAGTTAGCGCTACTATACGAATCAGAGACTTGGCGCCGTGCCGCGCCATGTCGCGCCACAAAGGGCACTTCGAACAAACTACAGACCTTCATCAACAGCTGTCTTCGCTAAAATACTACTCAAGATCAGATGGCCGGTCAGAAATGATTAACAATAGTAAGGGATCTCTGGGAGCGAACCAACCCAGCAGGAACCAATTATGCAACATATGAGGAAGAAATGGAGGTGGATTGGTTAGCCATACTCTGAGAAAACAAACTATCAAGTGAGTCACATCACAAGCCAGGCTCTCTCTGTCTCGAGTGGAACCCAAATAGGAAGCGGCGAGTTGGTCGTCAGTATGAGGGTGACATGAAGGAGGAGGTTATGTTTAGATGAGATGAAAGCATGTGGGCAGATGTGGAGCCAGGTGATGAAAACGTTGGCAGAGAACCGAACGCAATGGAGACGTGCAGCTGAAGCCCTACGTTCCAACAAACTACACTGGCTGGAAAAAATGTTCCTGAAGGCCCTAACATGTCATAAAGATGGTTCGGATAGCGATCAGACAAAACGCAGTTGCCATCCTCTTAGAAGTTTTCCACGCAGTTTTTGGCGGGGAGGGGTCTTTCTTTGGGAGGATTTGTACTGCTGATGAACAGGGATGTCACAGCAGTAAGGTGTTGCACTGACATGACCAGCATGCTAACAATGCTGCTTCTCAGATCTGAAAGCAGGGGTTAGAAAAGGTCGATCCCAAAAATTGTACATCCCTCTCACAGTTTATGGGTGGCCAGCTTAAAACGTGGAATACCACCAAATCCCTTGGGATTCTCTAAATAATTGTGTCTATAGAATAAAATTCTTGGAATGTGAAGCGATATACATTGGAAAAATATCTCGAGAAATCAAAGCAATCAGAAAAAATGAACACCACCATAAAGCAATTTGAAAATAAATAAATAAAAAACTGTCTTCGTCGACTCACTGATTTATCACTTGGTGGGTGTAAATTAAAACCGAAAAATTGATTTACAAACGCCTGTTCTGTACGTATTACTGTAAGGATTTTATCGAAACAATTATCAAATATCTAAAATGGAAATTAGAAATAAAAAAATAAATAAATAAATAAAGGGGACTGATTACCAACAAGCTTTCCTTTCATCTTCAAAAACTCTTCAATATGTTGCAAGATAATGCTACAAGTCTGGACTGGACTACATCGACTTACACCTAGCTTAAAGATAAGCAGGAGTGAAGTATTGAGTGAGGCATGTTGACCAACTCCAGAGGGTTGATCGCTGACGAAATCTCAGTACGGATACAGAAGAATCGTTTCTCATTTGCCGCCAATTTACAACATCTCTGGCTTGGTAGACGTGATATCCGGTTGGTTGTGTGCACTGCTCAGCAGTTCGTTCTGTCTTCATTTACGGCTGACTGTGAGTGAGAAATGGTCAATGAAAGTGGAAGACATGAAAAGGCCGGTTAGCTGTCTTTCATCATAGGCACCTTCGTTCTATCTTCCATGTTAAGTAGTATTGTAACAACAGAAGACAAGAGCCAGGCAACAGATCGTTTATTAAGGAAAATCAACACATATTTATAGATTTTAATGTACATTATTGTAGATTATTGTTAGTAGAAAATACAGTCTCTTGATTGGTTGTTTCTCACAGAAAGTTAATCTTGCATCTCTTTGTGTCTGTGTCAGATCATCCATATGCTAACTGTATCCGCCCACGCAAAGCCTTTGTTCTCATTTTCTCACCACCAATATTGGGGACATAAACATTGGCGTCAATTACTGGCTACCAACATTGGCTAGCAGCCAGCTCTCTCACTACAGTATAATACGATGAGCAATATTGAGATTAGGAATCGGTCGAGTGCCAGGTAAGGAGGGGGAATCAATCGACGAGGTTGTGAAGTTACACCGATTGCGATGGTTACAACATGTGTTACGCATGCATTCCTAGACATCGATCGCCTTCCCAGATAGGCAATGTTAGCTGACATAGGATCGATCAGGTTGGAAAAGAGGCAGTTGTGGTCAAACCAAAACATGGCTTAATCAGTTAGTCAAATCCATAACAACAGTTAGTTTAAGCCAGGCACGTAGGGAGGTGTAGACGTCCAGGGTTGGGAAATGTTCTTTCCAATGCATCTTTAATTATACCTTTTGTACGTTAGATAGAGAAACTGGTTTCTTTTCAAATATTTCGGGTTTCGGTTGAGGTGGTTTTTCCTTCCCATATTCTGATAAAAACATCCGAGAGTATCCATTTTCGATAAGGTACTTTTCTATGATTGAGAGTTTCGCTTCGATCTCATCTTTTGAATACCACACTCTAGATCTGCTAAAGAGCTTATTCACCAGGCTTCATTTATAGCCCATCGAGCAGAAACTGTGATAATTCAAGTATTGGCCAATTCATGTTTCTTTCCTGTAGATAGATTTTCTAATTGACCTATCATTTGTGGTTTTTTTAAGTTGAAATCTATGAAGTGGAACTGATTGTCACTTCCATGGATGCGTGATTCATATTATTGCAAACCACGAACTTTTTGAAGGGAATTCACGAAATGAAATAAGGTCGTATTATCAAAACTGCAAATAGGTTCGTTCTTTCTTTACTCAAAGTACGCATAACTGCATGATGACGGATGTAATGACATGTTTAATATCCAAAATATGATGTACGCATTTACCGAATCCGACGGGAACCAATAAGTTCTACGATCGATCCAACGTAGGATTGAAGGAAATCATACAAGTAAACGAATAGCTATAATAATTCATCCCGCAAAAATAGCTAATTCACCTGATGCTACTTATTACGATTACAGTAGTATAGTGAATATTTACAAAACAAAGAGAAATACTATCGTGTGTGCGATAGGGATATTCACTTAAAAGAACCACTTACATTTTCAACTTGAGAGAGAAAATTTGAATCAGAAACTTGTAATGACATTACACTGCCAACATCAGATGGAATATTATCAAGACGTTGTGAATCCTTAGCTAGATTTCAAGAAGAAAAAAGAAGAAAAGGTGATTGAATATGAATCAATCGAAGAGGGAAGTCGAAGGAATTAAAGAAACATTTCAACAAATAAAAAAGAAGATGATTTGGAGTGAACAATTGTCGTTTCGATAAATTCTCCCTCAGCTCAGGGGCTCTATAGTTATAAATCCATGAATATTAGAAAAATACAAATAGCTATTAGAGGAATGTGAAAATTGCATCAGAAACTGTCTATATTGGGGTGGGGTACATGTATAAGACGGTATAATAGTCTGCCGGATAATACTGTCAAATGAACGTATATAAAGTGTTCAGTCATTCATTCATAATAATAAGATAAAGTGTGAAGATACAAATGGGTGACATACTAATGTATTTATAGGCTGCTGCTGGATTCAACATAGAACTTGGCACCGAAGTGCAGCAGTTCGAGTAGGCACGTTCCAAATAACACACAAAGGTAGACAAGAAAATGAGAGAAGAGAATCAATAGAATTTAGATAAGTATAAGAGTGAAACAGAATGAATAATGGTAGAAAGGAATATGAAGGTTAAAGAGACTGAATACATCTGCGCCATTGACAACGATTTTGAGCCATGTCACCTATTGTCTGTCTCCAGCCAATGATTCTTAGAGTCCCGAGGGCGGGCCCCAACCCGGAAGTCTGCATCTCCCTACCTGACTCAGTTTAACTGTCAGGGATTTCATGGATTGATGCCATGTTTTTGTTTGGCCACCACTTACTCTTTTCCAACCTGCACCTATATCAGCTAGTAATGCCCGTCGGGGGAGACGATGGTTAGGCATGCGCAGTTCGCGTGCTCTTTGGGTTGTGAGGGCGATTGTTACTTCCCGGCTGCCCACACCGTGGAAGTTGGTTGCGTGACCGCAGAGCCCAGGGGACAACTGCTTGAGGCCGGTCACACACGGCCTGTTTTTGTTTGTTGTTTTTCATTTGGTGTGTCTCAGTAGCGTATTTATCACTTCTGCCCTGTGACACGGCAGCAGAAAGCGCGGTCGTTGTTAATCCGGGCCCCGACCGATCCGGCATGATATTTTGTGATTTATTTTGAAGTCATAGGATTGGATTGGGTAACTGCTTTTAGTCTAATTGCTATCCAAACAACCTTCCTGGCATGGTAGGACCTGCAGGAACATAAGTTCCAGCCAATATAGCTTGTTGGATCATTGTGGTGTTCAAGCCCGACCACCACGTCAAGGTAGCAGCTTTCGGTCGGGGTATTTATAGGCAACAAAAGATAAGTTTCATTGAGGGTGGGGTTGAGTTATACTCAATGGTGTGCGAGGAAAATGATCAACACAGAATACACACGAAAAAATACCAACAAAAAACAGGAAAAACTGAATGTAAGGTCAAGTAAGATCTGACAAATATCAAGTGTGGTGATAAAATAAAGAGGTTAAATGGTGAACTGTAATAAAATACTAGAGACATGATAAGCTTAGTGTAAATTACAAAATTATTATTATTATTGTTTCCTTTAGTTCCTTGAGGAACATATGTCTTCAGCCGGACGTCTCTATTGCGTTCGGTTCTCCACCAACGTTTTCATCACCTGGCTCCACATCACCTCCTTCATGTCACCTTCACACTGACGACCAACTCGCCACTTCCCATTCGGGTTCCACTCGAGCGACAGCCTGGCATGTGATGTCACTCACTTGATGGTTTGTTTTCTCAGAGTATGGCCAATCCAATCCACCTCCATTTCTTCCTGCATATTTATAGCACAATTGGTTCCTGCTGGCTTGGTTCGCTCCCAGAGATAACTTACTATTCGTGATCATTTCTGGCCAGCCATCTGATCTTGAGTAGTATTGAGCGAAGGTGGCAGCTGTTGATGAAAGTCTGCAGATTGCTCATATTGTAGTTGAAAATTCGGATCTTACTTTTCATGCTGAGTGCTGCTGACCTCCACACAGACCTAAGAGTAATGAAAGCGTGCCTTGCTTTCCCGATCCTTGTGCTTTGATATCCTCATCAGTTCCGTCTACCTGTAGTTGAAACGATACTTCCCTGGTAGATCGGTAGGTGAAGGAGGTTGCTTCTTTCCGATTCCTCATATTTATCCTGCCTGATTGTTGTCTTTTGTTGTTGCTGGCCAAGAGTCTTCATCACCTTTGTCTTCTCTATGTTCACCTGAAGTCCTATCTTTTCTGGATGCTTCTTCTGTCAACTTGGTGCTTTTCATTTGCATACCTTCTAATTTTGTTGTCTTAACCAACCGGCGAACTTCACAACAACGTAAAAATTACCTCATACTGAAGAACGATAATTCAGTTACTGTATGCATAAGCTGAGATTTTGTAAATTCTGGTTTAATATTACTACCTTGACAGCGAAACGTCTGTCAGAACAATAACAGTATCTTCACGAGTTGGTTTGTTGTGATTATATTTGTTTTTACGAGTTGATTACAGATTGATACCAGTTAGAGAACCATTGAAAACCAGGGAGCACTGGAGAGCTAGCTGTTTCATCCTAGTGCTTGGGACTCATTAGTAGTAGGGCACCCACCACATGAGTTCGACCTCAGGATCTTCCGGTTACAAGGCAAGCTACCTCATATACCATTCAGCCACTGGGACCCGATTCAACGGCTCATGAATTCTAACTTCCATCAATTCGTGATTTAGCGAGATCACCAACTAATGTCATCGGTGGGAAATCCATCCTCACACTTGACTGGTTGGACCTCACTGGTCACGACTTCTCACTAGAACTCACTACAGGAAACTGCGTCCTGTAGCAAGTCACTAGCGAGCATCAGATTAATATTCACGAGTTGGTTTGTAAGGATCAGATTTGTTGGATAGATTTCCTACCGATGACATTGGCTGGTGCCAGTTGCGCTAAATGCATCACGAATTGGTAGAAGTTAGAATCCATACATGGGTTAGCAACTGAAGAGTTGGGTCCCACTGGCTGAATTGTATACAAGGTAGCTTACCTTGTAACCGGAAGGTCCTGGGTTCGAACTCATGTGGTGGGTGCGTACTGCCAATGAGTCCCAAGCACTAGGATGAAACAGCTGTCCAGTAGTCCCTGGCTGTTTTCAGTGGTTCTCTAACTGATATCAATGCGTGATCAACTCGTAAAAATAACAGTATCGTTTAGTCTTTTTCATTCATTGGGAAATACAAAAAACCTTTTTACAATATAATGAATATCAAATACCCAATGTCTAAATGTTTTCAAACTGTTAAAAGTGAACTTGGTTTGGATATACGTAACCTTCTTTATTCATTTGCGTTCCCAATGGAACATACGGCACCTTCAAGCTAGAGGCTTGAAGTTTCGGTAACAGGGCTGTGGTGTTTTATTTTTACGGTATGGGATTGCTAGCCTCATGCTCAGTACAACCTTCCCTCTTTACCAGTCCTAATTACTGGCTTAGCGAGGTAAAAGAGTGCGTCGCTGGCCGGGGATCGAACTCAGGACCACCTGAATGGCTGGCGAGCATTCTACCGCTGTCAACATTAAAAACAGCATTGATTATTCAAAATAATCACTAAAAATGCACTAAAATGTAGCAATATCATAGAGAAAAAAAGATCTGATTAAATGACAACTACTCACCTTTACTTGGACGTACAAGAGCTCTTATAGAATCTTCAGTGAATTTCAATACTTCTTGAATTTGTCGTCTAAAGAAACTTTGTGATTTTTTAACATACATCTATATGAAATGGAAAAAAAGTTAATGAGAGATAGATAGATAGAGAACAAGAAAGCGATATATTAGGGAAATCTTATAACTGTTTCGTCCCAGTGTTAAACTCTTCAGCAATATGCATATATAATTATAATAATAATCAGATACATAAGGCTTAGAAGATCTGTGTCAGTGCAGAGGAATGTGGATTTTAGAATTACAATGCAGTAAAACAACCTCATGAACAGAGTGACGACTGAAGGAGAGAAAGTGAAAAGTTAAGACGTAGCAAAATTCCCAATTAGCTATGTCTGACTGAATATAGAACTTTGCATAGGAATGCAACAGTCCAAGTATCCACACTCTGTATGCAGCACACGAAGGTATAGGAAACAGAGGGGGAGAAAACACTCAGAAGGACCAGAAGAAGACGAAGTCTTCAAGAGAAGGAAAATAATAACATGGAAAAATATGATTTAATGTATGTAGGAGACCAAAAGGACTGAGAGCACCACTCAGAACGATTCTGAACCACATCATCAATAGTCTGAAGTCATTGGTTCACAGAACCCAGGGGACACCAAACGAGTAGCGTACACCTCCCTATGCGACTGGCTGGAATTAATCACCAAAGACTCCATGAATTGATGCCGGAGACATCTGTACATATGTACGAGCATAAACTCTCATGAAGTTCCTTCTGGTTGAGAGTTTATGCTCGTACAGATACTAAGTATAAAAATTCTATCATACCACCATACTTCGCACGGGTAATTGTGTGTGAAGAGAGAGTCAGATGTCAGAAAAGAACTTATAAACTTTTTAAATCAGGGATCTGAACTGCTAAGCACAAGCAGAGCTTATTATTATTATTACATGCATTATCTATGATACTGTCTACTCATACTTCATTATGTATCCATCAACATTCTGTTTAAAGTGGTGGTCCCATTATTAGTATAAATATTATTATTACTATTTTAAATTTTATGTATGTACATATTTATGTCAAAGGAGGTGAATTGTTGCAATATGTGTAAAAAAGCTGAAAATTCCATCCTGTATAATTATTACTACTATTGTTGTTTGGAATAAAGTGATTATTATTGCTATTATTAGAGGTTTCCGCTGAGAAGTGAGAGAAGAATAGTGAGATAGGGTAGATATAAGAGACATGGATATTATGGTAGCAAAAACAGAATAAAAGCGGCGTCATTACGCACGTTCGATAACAGTTGACAATACTTCCCGCCATAATTTAGGGTCAACTATGGGTCTTACCCAGATATAATTAACAGATAAGTTTGTATTTGAGAATATTTTGGTGATTGTAAAGCACATTGAAGTATACGGCTTTGAGCTGATACACTGTTGAGAATTTCAACTTGAAACAGTCACGCATTCTGCTGATTTACTTAACTTAGTTCAATATAAACTTTATACAATGCAATTGTATATTAAACAAGGATCTGTAGTCATCAAATTGATGATGACATGTTTGAACATCGTCATTGAATGCTGCACTAATGTGTTTCTATTACAGAATTAAGTTGTAGTATTTGTTCGATTCGGACTATACGTAAGACTGTGCACAGGGAGCGAGGAGTCAGGTATACACTGGACGACCTATGGGAAGACTTTAGGAGATATGGATTTCGCGTGTGGATGATTTATGTCTAGTGTCACACAAACTCGAAGACTTGCAAGCGAAAACCAATAAACTGGATGAAGAGGCAGACAGCGAAGACAGGATTCCAGGTGAACAAAGAGAAGGCAGATGGAAGTGATGAAGATAACCAACCAACCAAAAGCAACAACAACCAGCACCAATCACCATCAACGGGAGAGATTTAACAGAAGTTACCTCCTTCACTTATCTAGGAAGCAAGCATCGTTTCAACTACAGGCAGACGGAACGGATGAATATGTCAAAACCCATCAGAATCGGAAAGGCGAGATACGCCTTCATCAACCTGAAACCAGTTTGAAAATCTTCTGCACTCACTCAGCATAAGGAACCAGATTCGGATTTTCAACACCAATGTCAGGGTCAAAACTTGCACTGCGTGTCACGAAAAGGATTTACAGCAAGCTACAGAATTTCACCAACAACTGTCCTCGCTGGGTCTATACTGAAGATCAAATGGCCAGAAACAATTGGTAATAAGAAACTCCAGCTGGCGACAGACAAACCAAGAGCCGACTGCTCAACAAATATGTAGGGAGCAATGGAGATGGATCAGGTGAACGCCATTGAGGAGATCATCGAATGACATCGCACGCCAGCCCATAGCTCGAGAAGAATGCAAATGAGAATTACGCGACGAGTAGGTCATTGGTGTGAGAGTGACATGAATGAGATCGTGTGGGGAGGAAGAGATGAGAGATTATGGACAATCGTGGTCCAATTTGAAGAGGACGGCAGAAGATATAACAAAATGGAGAGGTGTTGTTGAAGCCCTATGTTCCACTAAGAAACCGAAGAAACAATAATAATAGTAGTTTGTTAGATGCATCTGAGCCTAGCTTTCGAAACACAGGTCTAACTTTCCATGCATCATCGATCCAAAGACGTGCAGAATCATGTCTCAACAACATTATCAGTTCCTGGAGATGATGCTTGCAAATGACCATTTAGAGATGCCGGTCCCATTAATTTCCATCGACCTTCCATCAGAAAAGTCAAATTTTTTATTTCCTCTAAAACGACTTAATTGCCTTAGACGTGGGCCTCTAAGGATTTTTTTTACTCTAACCAGGAGCCTCCATAACGAGAACGAAAACTACCACCCTCGAAAAAGAAAAATAAAGGAACAGAAAACGGACGAAACCTTCAAAAAAGAATGCGAAAGACAAAAAGTGGCCATTCATGATAATCGCATTTATATAGATTCATTTACATGGACACAATTATTATTTATTTAATTAATTCCACATAGTAACGAAGGAGATAATAATTTTCAACTTCATATGAAAGTCTGAAGGTACGAATATATATGGATTACAAGCGGGTTAGAGACAAGATTACATAGGATTAGAAAACAGTTACAGCATGTGCAAAATTAATATTCGATAACTGGTGACTTTTCCTGCAGCAAATCTAAGAGTGATATTCTCTAGCTGCCCACTACTTCGGAGCAACGGGAAGGACAGACTTCCGTATATGACCACTTCCATGTGCATATATTAGTTCACCTGCTAGGTACACAGGTCGTTCTATGCAGATCTTATCAAAACGTGTTAGAGAACATCATCCAGCATGGGTGCAAAGAGTAGGCACTGATTCATTCAGAAGCGCAATAACTGAACAAGTCGTCAATCAATACCTGTCACACCATCTCAACATCCTCATCATTTAGAGTCATCTACAAAGTAAACAAAAATCTACCAAAGTCAATGTGTTTACAAATTATTTGTACTGCGGAAGCTCTCGCCATGTGCATTGAAAATCCGGAGCTGTGTGTTCAAAAGAAACTAGTTCAAACTTTACAAATACCATGGCCCCTTGTAGTCAATATTCATACCTTTAAACTTTCATATGAAGTTGAAAATAATTATCTCCTTCGTTACTATGTGGAATTAAATAAAAAAATAATAGATATGATGGAGAAGATTTGTAGCTCAGGTGGATGATTTTGATGTGGTTGTGTTCTCTGAGCTGGATAGTTAATTTGCGAAGCTTTCGTCACCCTACTAGGTGACATCTTCAGCGCATACTTCAATTTTAAGTGAGCTTTTAGATTTCTCCACGAGTTTATTAATCATCTCTCCTGGTGATGACCTTCAACGTGACTCTTTGGTTGTTTTTGTGTGCTTTCACACCCTGTAGGCTACTTGTATTGGAATTGATTGTTTCTTTGACTTGAACTTTGACCCTTTGTGTATGAGGTTTCTTTCTTATCGGTTGGTAAATTTTGTCTATCTCGATGTGTCTATTGATTGATGATTCACTGGAATACCAGACAGGCTTCTAAAAATTCTCTAGCATTCTTGGTGTTTCCTCTGTCTAATATTTGAACGCTGATTGTCCCAGTCGAATTGATGTCCGTGGTTGTCTGTATGTAGTGATATGAGTGAGGGAGTGGATGTCATGTCTTTTGACGGCTAGCTTATGTTCATGGATACGAAGACGAAAGGGACGTTGTCCACTTTGGCCAATGTAGTGTTATTCGCAGTTGTAACAATTTATTTTGTGGATGATATTGTTTTTATCTTCATTCGCTGTTGAGTCTTTTGGTTGACATGGAGCCAGCTGAGTGAAGTGATTTTGTTGGTTTGTGTGCGACGTCAATTCCTAAAGGTTTGACGAGTCTTGCAGTGACTTCTGAGATGTCCTTTATATATGGCAGGGCGATTTTCTTTGTGCTTTCCTTGGGGGCCTTTGATTTGACAGGTTAACTGGGGGTATGTGTCTTTTGATGAAATTCAGTGGATATCCATTCTTTTGAAAGACGTCGATGAGATATCTTTCTTCAATTTCCCTTAAGCTGGGAGTGCTGCAATGAGTCCTGGCTGGCCCTCTTGGATAGTGTTTGTATGCAATTCCTTTTGTATGTTATTGGATTGTTGCTGTTGTAATTCAGTATTTGGTCTGTGTGAGTTGATTTTCTACAAACTTGATTTTCTAATTCCCCTGTGGTTGTTCGCTTGACACCCCCATGGGATCGCCAATATCAGGTTTGATTGCAGAAGCAGTGATGTGAAGACTCGAAAAATATAATCCTACCAAACACCAAACTCAAAATTTGGATACATTACGTAGATGATACATTTGTAATAATCAAAAGAAACGAGTTGGATAAAACTCACAATTTAATAAACAACGTCTTCAACGACATCAAATTCACAAGAAATGAGGAATCCGAGGGCGAAGTCCCATTTTTCGACGTCTCAGTCAAGCGAACAACCACGGGGGAATTAGAAACTCAAGTTTATAGAAAATCAACTCAAACAGACTTAATACTGAATTACAACAGCAACAATCCAATATATAATAGATTAAAAAATGGCACGGTCACAGAACACATAATTACCCTTTTAATTTCAATATATAAATCTTTCCGATTCATTTGTAACCAATTGCCAATAAGTGGTGCTAATTGTAACAGACCAGTACGTTGTGTTGCGTACACCTCTGAAGCGACATGAAACGAGTTGGAGATAATTAAAGAGTGTTTTTTATTTTTCTCTAGTGTACCGCCGCCACCACCACCACCTCCAGCAGTAGTAGTTGTAGTACTTCCATTTCCAGGACTGCCAGATACTCCTAACGAGGATGATGAATCATTATTCAACGATGGTAGACTGACACCAGTATTCACGATAAAACCAAGTTGACTAGCAAATCGTAACATTGTATCATTTACATAACCGGAGAGTTTTACTGCGAAAGCATCACGTAAATTTCTCAGCTCACCCATTCTTTCTTCTACCGCTTGAAGATGTTCTTGACCTGTAATTTTTTTTTCGGGGGGGGGGGGGGGTGAAGGAATAACAAATTTGAAAATGAATGAGCTTAATAATTTCATTTTAGAGACAATACAAATATATATACCACCGAAAATACCCATTGAGTCATGAAGAAAATAAAATTGAGAAGAATAAGAAGTTCAGCAAAGATGACGATCTTTTCGGCGATTTCATTTTCAAAAGCTGTACAATCGCATTTAAATACATAATTTTACATGGAGACAATTCTTGTTTGATTCTACATAATTATGACGGTGAATAAAAGGTGATAATTATTTCAAACTAGATATGGTTTTACGAGAGGCTTAGAAACAAAATTACGCAGGATTAGAACGGATATCAAGTGTGTAAAAATGAGCATGGACACAAAATTGAAATAATAATTTTCAACTTGAGATGGGAATCAGGAGGTGTGAATATAGATTACAAGAGCCTTAGAAACACAAAAAGTTGCACAGGATTAAGATATGATTGTAAATTTCTTTTTAAAACGATTTATAAGTGTGAACAGGAAAAGCATGGAAACAAACTTAAAATAACTGTTTTATAACTGGTACCGGTGCCTCCTCTTTGTAGCCACGCTGGGTAGTGTTCTCTAACACGTTTTGAAAGGACGCGCATACAGCGACATATGTACCTTGCTCCGCAAGAGCAGGTGAACTGGTAAAGAGGAGGCATCGGTTCAATCAGAAGTGCCATTATTGAGCATCTGATCAATACCTCCCACAACATCTCAACTGATTCATTCAAAGTAATTTACAAGGTCAACAGAAACCTACCGAAAGCAGTTTGTTTCCGACTTCTCTGTACTGCAGAAGCCCTCGCAATATGCATCGAGAAGCCGGAGCTGTGTGTCCAAAAGAAATTAGTCCAACCTCTACAACTACCATGGTCTTAGTTCGGTATGTTACCGTAGCTTCCGTTTTTTGTTGTTGTTTTTTATCCCTTTTCGTTCGCTATGTGTGTGTGATTCTTGCTCCCTCAGTTTTCATTCGATTCACCCCATTTTTTTTCCAGTTATAAGAACAGTTATTTTAAGTTTGTTTCCATGCTTTTCCTGTTCACACTTATAAATCGTTTTAAAAAGAAATTTACAATCATATCTTAATCCTGTGCAACTTTTTGTGTTTCTAAGGCTCTTGTAATCTATATTCACACCTCCTGATTCCCATCTCAAGTTGAAAATTATTATTTCAATTTTGTGTCCATGCTCATTTTTACACACTTGATATCCGTTCTAATCCTGCGTAATTTTGTTTCTAAGCCTCTCGTATAACCATATCTAGTTTGAAATAATTATCACCTTTTATTCACCGTCATAATTATGTAGAATCAAACAAGAATTGTCTCCATGTAAAATTATGTATTTAAATGCGATTGTACAGCTTTTGAAAATGAAATCGCCGAAAAGATCGTCATCTTTGCTGAACTTCTTATTCTTCTCAATCTAATGTTCCAATGGGTATTTTCCACGATGAGAAAATAAAAGACAAATTCAGTGAAGAAAATTTTCTTTATCGACGAAATCATCTTCAAAGGCTGTACAGTCGTATTTACACTTACACGAAAATATATGGTGGTCTATTATTGAGTAATAGTGGGTGACATAATTGATATAATTACTCAGAAGTGGCTTTAGAAGTGAAAATTAAAAGTTGTAAATTACGTGGTACTCAACGGAACAAAGATAGAAATCTACAACTTTTAATTTTCACTTCTAAAGCCACTTCTGAGTAATTATATCAATTATGTCACCCCTTATTACTCAATAATAGACCACTATAGATTTTTGGTAAGTATAAATACGAATGTACAGCCTCTGAAGATGGTTTCGTCGATAAAGAAAATTTTCTTAGCAAAATATATATATTTTCAAACCAAGTTCACTTTTAACAGTTTGAAAAAATTTGGGCATTGGGTATATGATATTCATTATAATTAAGGTTTATTTTGCATTTCCCAATGAATGAAAAGGACAAAACGACAATGTTGTTGTGTTTCATGACGTTTCGCTATTTAATGTTGCTGCTAGTAGCTTCATCAAAGTAGTATTGTCAAACCAGAATTTACAAAATCCACCCAGCTTATATATAACAACTTAATCATCGTTCCTCAGCATGGGATTATTTTTGCGTTGTCAAATTGGCCAATTGGTAAAGATAACAAAACCAGGTGTAGATTGTTGGATTTGATAAGCGTGTAAAATTATAAAAGAGCAGCGTGTGTTCACATAATGAAATCGCTTATCACATTCGTGTTGATTTTGTCACTTCATCGTGGAGAGTAGGTAGGAGGGTGTTGTAACCAGATCAAATTCTGTTTTAGTCCACAATTCATTCCTATTCACCAGACGATTTGGATTCCGCTTGATGTGAAGTGCTTTTGATGATCATGCCATCCTATGTCAGTGAAAATAAGATTGGTGAAATGTTTAAGTAATAGAGCACAAAAACTAAGTAGTACCAAGGAAAATCTAAGACAGGAAGTAAGACATACAAGAGAAGTCTTGAAACTTAATAATTACCCTGATAAATTAGTCAGGAAGCATGCAGGGAAATGTAAAAATAAAATAAATGATCATAGTAGTGATGGTGATAATAATAATATTAATATTAATGACGACATGCATGTCAAACGTGCGCAAGACAACACCAACAATAAGGAATCTAAATCATCAGTAGTAATCCAATTCAAGGAAGGAACCTCTGAAGCCTTATGCAGAATTCTTAACAAAGCAGGCAGGAATAAAAGTGGTTGGTATTCAAACCACCCCCAAAGTCAGTTAGAAACAAGCTTTGTCTGCTAAAAGATCCTGTGGAGCCTTTAAAACAAAACAATTCAGTTTATCTAATACCCTGCTGGAATGATTTTCAGACCAAATAAATAGGTCAAAGTAGTAGAACAGGGGCAGTCAGACTAACCGAGCATAAAAATCTAGCAGTGAAATCTAGAGAGAGAGAGCATCAAACTCCCTTAGCTGAGTGAGTAGGTGGGTTCTATCTCGGAATATTAGACCACATAGGGAAAAATAACCAACGGAAAGGCATTACTCAGGGGTTCAAAGTTATAGGTTTCAGAGTTTCTTGGACTCAGTCACCTGCAAAAGCTAAGAGTCACAGTTACTGCATGTGTGCTGAGGGTCAATGATTCTATCCATTTGTCATTGGGCTGAAGTAGGTGTGGCCGAACTCAAACTTGGAAACCTCTATAAATCAGAGATAGTCCCGCTGGGCTTGTGAAGTCATTGACTATCCCAGCATGTATAAGAAGGGAGGCAAGTCTTCTTGTGATTATAACAGGAGGGTTAGCTTCACCAATTTTTTTTATTCTTTCACTTTCCCAGTGGAACATAGGGCTTCAAGCTAGAGGCTTGAAGTTTCTGTAGCAGTGTTTTTTCTTACAGGATGAGGTTGCTAACCTCATACTCAACCTTCCATCTTTACCAGCTTTTTATAACTGGCTTAGCAAGCTAAAGGAGTGCGTTGGCCGGGGATCTAACCTTGGACCATGCGCATGGTCGGCTAGCTTCCTAACAGCTATGCCACCGACGCAGCTTGATAAATATCGTATCCAAATTTCTAGGCTCAATAATCACGAGAGAACCAGGCAGACAGGCTTTAGACCAGCATTTTTCGACAGATTCTGGAACACAGGCATACTTACCGGCGTTCAAAAATTGCCATATTTTAGTGTTGGTTTGCAGATATATTTGATTTGATTGGTTACAGGATTTCATCATGAGTTGATGTTGGTTAGAGAACCATAAGAAAACCACTAGGGATTACTGGACAGCGGTTTCAACCTAGTTTGAGACTCTTCATCAGTACTCAACCGACCAGTAGGGTTCCGACCCACAACCTTCCACTTACAGGGCGACCTCGTAGACCATTAAGGCACTGGGGCCCAATCTAATGGTCAGCCCATGTCATCGGAGAGAATCTGTCCAAACACCTGACATGATCTCATAGGTTCGAACCCCGGCGAGTGAATACTGATGAAGAGTCTCAAACTAGGACAACGGAAACAGCTGTCCAGTACTCCCTGCAGGTTTTCCAATGTTTCTCTAACTGATTTCAACTCATGATGAAATCCTCCAACCAATCAAACAAATAAAATCCCTACAAAACCAATACTTGAAAATAATCAATGATTTGTTATAAGTTTGACTGCAGATTGATATCTGTTCGAGAACAATTGAAAACCAGCAAGGAGCATTGACAAACTGCTGTTTTATCCTAGTTTGCGACTCATCGGTAGGAAGCGCCCACCAAAGGAGTTCAAACCCAGGACACCTTCCAGTTATAAGTCAAGCTGGCTAGTAAACCATTCAACCAACCACTGGGAAGACCCGACTGAATGACCAGCACATGAATTTTAACTTCAAGCAATTCGTGATTTTAGCGTGACTGGCACCAGCCAATGTCATCAGCAGTGTTTATTTATCCTCACTCCCAACTTTGCACATATGTGCGGCAGTTCAAGTCGCCACACACACAAAGCAAGACAAGAAAGTAGGAGAAATTCATAATAGAGACAGTAAACAGAGGTGTGAGACAAAGGTATAGTAATAACGAAGAACAAAACAGTTTAACTGGAAATCATAAGTCACAAGGAGTGGATGCATCTGCGCCGGCCATTGAGAACGATTTTGAGCCATGTCACCAATATTGTTTCCAACCATTGGTTTTTACCGTCCCGAGGACCCCAACCAGTCAGGAAGCCAGTCTACACCTTCCTACGTGGCTTAGACTAACTGTTGAAGATTTCATTGACTGATGAGGCCATGTTTTGGTTTGACCACCGCTAGCTCTTTTCCAACCTGACCCTATATCAGCTAACAGCACACATGTAGATTAGTAAGAATTCTCAATAATGTAAATAAACATGAATGACTGAAAAAGACTATTAACACACGTACATAGATCGATTTAATCTTAACGACTATGGAAAAATTCAGGTACACAAACCACTCCATGTAAAATATTATTATTATTACATTATTACTATTGTGTGAAAATAGTGAAAAGTACATAAATGAATATAGTAGCAATGGAAACAATACACATTATTATTATTATTTTCAAGGTTACTCTACTCTATGGATTATTGATTGTTTGTTTTACATTGTATTCTGTGTGAAATTGAAAAATTAACAAAATCTAATGATGCATGCACCAAAACAAATTTGTTAAGAATCATTATTATTACTATTACTACATTGGAGAGACTAAGAGAAGCAGTGGATGCAGAACTCCACTCCACCGGGATTCGAACCCAGGACCTTCTATTTTACAAGGTAGGTAGTTACCTGCGGTTCTAGTGAGAAGTCGTGACCAGTAGGGTGCAGCAGGTCGGGTGTGAGGACAAATACTCACTGAAGACATTCGCTAGGGGTCGCGTTCTGTCGTGAATTGGCAGAAGTTGGAATTCATGGGCCATTGGATCAGGTCCCAGTGGCTTAATGGTATACGAGCTCGCCTTGTAACCAGAAGGTCCTGGGTTCGAATCCCGGTGGGTGCGTGCTGCTGAAGAGTCCCAAAATAGGACAAACAGCTGTCCAGTACTCCCTGGTGGTTTTCCAATGGTTCTCTAACTGATGTCAGCTCATGATGAAAATCCTGTAACCAATCAAATCCCTACAAAGCAACACTTGACTATCTCCTTGGAATTTGATGTTTTTTGCCGGTCGATGAACATTTGTTTATACATATACATATGTACTACTGGTAAATCTTATCAGTAGCACACGTCACACCAAGAGCCAACACGTTAACAAACAGACTGAATATTTCACTCAAAATACAACAACAACAACAAAAAATCAATCAAATGAGAAAAATAACAACAAATGATACGCACACAGAGAAAGAATAAAATTCAGTCAGAATTTGTTTTCCAAAACACATGCACACACACACTCACCTGGTTTAAATCCAGAATTCATAATACGATCTAAATAGGCAGCTGCTTCTATACACAATGTGATGCCTTCTTGTGTATTTAAATCCCCTTCAATTAATACACGCAGATATCTTGGATCAACATTTAAACTATCGATTAATTCTTCTAAAACTTTCAATAGATTTACACGATTATCAACCGTGGTTTGAATTAATTGATCATGATCCCGTAGAGTGGCCATAGCATCTTCAACTTCCTGAAAAGAAAAAGAAAGAACAATAACAAAGAAGGTTGAGGTGAACAACTGTCTATCTGTCTGTTTTCAACATAGAACTTTGCATCGGTGTGCAGTAGCCCGCCACATTCCACTCCTTGTAGCAAACAAAGTAAGAGAAGAAAGTAGAAGAAATGCATAGTGGAGACAGTAAACAGGGATATGAGGCAACGATGAATAGTAATAACGAAGAACAATATAGTTTCATTGGAAATTATAAGTCACAAGGAGTGGATGCATCTACGCCATCCAGAACAATTTTGAGACATTTCACCGATTGTCTCCAGCCTTCATGGTTTTTTACCGTCCCGAGAACCTCAACCAGTCAGGAAGTCTACACCTTCCTACGTAACCGGCTTAAACTAACTGTTGTGGATTTCATTGATTCATGAGGCTATGTTTCGGTTTGACTACCACTGGCTACCTTTTTTCTAACCTGATCCATCCTATGTCAGCTAACATTGCCCGTCGAGGAAGCCAACGGCTAGGAATGCACGCGCAACACATGTCGTAACCATCGCCTCAGTCGATGTAACTTCACAGCCTCGTCAATTGATTTTCCCTCCTTACCTAGCACTCGACCGATGCCTGACCTCAATATTGTTCACCCTATTATACCATTTCACACAGGAGATAGAACGCAGGCACCTATGATCAAAGACAGCTAGCCGGCCTTTTCATGTCTTTCACTTTCAATGACACCCCTTCCCTGTCTTGCGGATGAGACTCCAAGTCAAAGTTTCGAGGGATTTTCCCCTAAGACAACCAGCTGCTTCGATCTAGGCGCCCGGGCAGTATCTTTAGTCAATAGAAGTAAGTTGAAACTGCAATAAATACACTAACTTTCATTATTCACGTTGTAAGTACTTGGTTAGTAAGATACCAACCAGACAAAAACAACGGATCAACCTGTTTTATCCTACACTCCATGCTGCGGACATGTGTTCTTCCCAAAGGTGAACGTCTGACGCTTTCAACCAAACTGATCGAAACGCAGATCTACCTTGTGGAGGTGGAAAAACTATGATTACAAACCTCTCGCGTACATGGGCTCCGGTAATCAAAAGGATTGAATAGTGAATAAATCTGTGTTTTTCAGCAGAAATGATGGTGACCTAGAGCGCCTTACGCCGCTCTACTAGAGGATTAGAACTTAAATCAAAGGTTACAGGATTTAATCATGAGTTGACATCCACTAGAGAACTATTGGAAATGGTATACGAGCTTGCCTTGTAACCGGAAGGTCTTGGGTTCGAATCCCAGTGGATGCGTACTGCCGATGATTCCCAAACTAGGATTAAACAGCAGCTGTCCAGTACTCTCTGGTTTTCAATGGTTCTCTAATTGATATCAGTCCGTGATCAACTCGTAAAACATAACTAAACCTTACAAACCAAATTATAAAAAACTATTGGAAAAGCAAAAGAGAGTAGTGGGTAGGTGTCTCGCCAGCAGTACGTACTCACCACAAGAGTTCGAACCCAAGACACCTTCCAGTTACAAGGTTAAGCTCGTAGACCATTTAACCACCGGGACCCGATCTAATGGCCTGCCCATGAATTCCAACTTCTGCCAATTAACGATATAGAGCGACTGGCACTAGCCAATATCATTCGTGGAGAGTATTTGTCCTCACACCCCACCTGCTGTATCCTACTGGTCACGACTTTCTACTAGAACCCAGGCTCAGAAGCAGATGTCTCCTTAAGATAATCACCTGCTTCGGTTTCGTTGTCCGGGAGGTATCCCAGCTATTGCACAAGGATGAGTCATAATTTACTACTGGTGCGCCTTAAAAGTCATCTGAAGATTCAACCCAATCCAATCAATCAGTCGGGCGTACAATTAGGCAGGTTCATCCATCGTATTTTCGAACATCATCCAGCATGGTTAAGCAATGGACAAACAAGATCTATTCGTAGCTGTATTGTAGCACACCTTGTAGATAGTGAGCATAAAGTTGACGTTAATACTGCAATACAAATTATTTATCGCATTCCTACTAATCTTAATTTTGCTCTACGAGTTCGTCTTCTGCATACAGCTGAAGAAATAGGAATCCACCTGAAGAAGCTAGCCAAATCTGTGTGTTCAGAAGAAATTTGTACAGCCACTTTCCTTACCTTGGTCATCGTTACATGAATGCATAAACCGGACTACTTCGCCCCCCTCCCCCTAAACCTTTAAAATTATAATTGTCCAAATTATTTTATTTTTATTTATTTTGACCACTTCATCTTTAATTACGTGTTATCCTAGTAAAATTAATTTATTCTATCCATTTCTACTTTTTAAATGTGTATTGATTTTCTGCGTTAATTATCAACCCATTGACAATTTGACACTGGTTAATTATTGTTAACAAACATATCAGTGCCACTTGATTGGTAAATTGTTGTGTATTGTAATATAAATGCTACATATCAGAGTATATATTAGAGTAGAGCCAGAGAGAGATGAGGATCTAATTAAAAATTAAATATTTCCTCGCTCAATTTCTCTGTTTTCTAAATGTCTAAATGGGGATTTTATTTCTATATTGAAATCAAATAAATGAATATCCACAATTTAGCAGTCATGTTTTCCGCATTTTCAGAAAAGGGGTGGGGAATGAACAAGATAGTTTTGTGTGCTTGTAGAAGTGCGTAGGCGGTTAATAACGTCCTGGTAGTCCACACCGTGGAAACTGATTTCTTTTTGAAATCTATGAGACAGAAAGAGCATTAGTACTGCATGATCACAGGGGGACTGGGGGACAATTTCTCAAGGCGGGTCATGCATAGCATGTCTGAAACGGATTTTTGAGCTGTACAAATACCTACAAGGTGAGGCGAGATGTATAGTTCCAGGAGTCGAGCTTTCCTAAACCCAGCACTCATCTCACAACGAGGACGTAACATAACTAGCTTCCTTAGTTATTTCCAAGAATTACAATTTCACCTTCAAAATCCCTTTCCCCTAACCAAGTATTAACGACCAACACTAAGATGGTACCTGATTTCAGTTTAACCACAGTGAAAACTCCCATATGCGTGGGCATTACACGACCAGGAGGAACACTCCTTCCAATCAGTGTAGCTCGTCGACAAAAAGAGAAAAAGCCAAGTGTAACAACCGCCTCTCTCCACCTTTCTGGGGAGATCAAAACACGAAACCAACAGCTGAAGATTAATCTGATGCTCACTAAGTAACTGGCTTTAAACAGGGAGTCACCTGGTGTTCTAGTAATAAAAATCACACGTAACCACTTCTATGTGCACATTAGTCGTTCGACGCACATCCTGTCCAAGAGGATTCAAGAACACTATCCAGAATGGTTGCGAAAAGGCAATATTGGTGCAATAAGGAGTGCGATAATTGAACACCTGGGTAACACTGATCATTCCATCTCAACAACAAACGTCTCCTGCTTCAAAGTAATCTACAGAGTCAAGAATAACCTACCAAAGGCAATACGGTTTCGTCTTCTTTGTATCGCTGAAGCTCTCGCTATTCACACAGAAAAACCGAAGATGTGCATACAAAAGAGAATTACTCAACCACTTCTACTGTCATGGTAACAACTTTGTTGATTTTTGATGACTTAATTTTGTTTGTTTGCCTGTTTCTTTAATTGCTTATAATTCTTGTATTCATTGAGAAATCTTACGTAATCTCATATCCTCTGCTTTGTTCCTATGTGTATCCTGAGTAAAACTCAATCATAAAACTATTCATATTATTAAATAACTTCATTTTAACAAATGATTGTGACAACTCATCACCTTTGTTACTACCCTAATTTCATTAACACCTAATTTTCTTGACCACTTTTGTATTACGTAACTCCAATTACCAATCTTCACCTGTTTAGTTAAAATAACCATAATCAATTGTATTTTTGTTTGACAAACTTAATGTACACATACATACAAAATAACAGCTATAAAAATGAATTCGCCGCCGAAAAGAGACTCTTCGCTGAACTACGTGTTTTGTTTTCATTAATGCCTGGATAAGGATTCCCCATGAATATTCATGAAAAATTCCCATTCGAACATTAATAGACAGAAAACCGATAGTTCAGCGAAGAGTCTCTTTTCGCGGCGAATTCATTTTCATAGCTGTACAATCACAAATATATATGGTTGTTTTGTATGTGTGTGTACATTAAATTTGTCAAACGAAAATACAATTAGTAAGTTCAGATGAATTGGATGTTGATATAGGAGGGTAGTAACAAAAGTGATGAGTTGTCACAAACGATTGTTAAAGAAGAGTTACGCAATAACATGAATAGTTTGATGAAAGAGTTGTGCTCAGGGTGTACATGGAAACAAAATAACATACGGAATTACGCAAGAGTTTTAAGTAGTTAGAAAAATAAGCATACAAGCAAAAGTTAAGTCAAATCAACAGAGTTGTTACCATGAGAGTAGAAGTGGCTGAATAATTTTCTTTTGTATGCATAGTTCTGGTTCTTCCAACTGAATGGCTTTGGCTTCTGCAATGCAAAGAAGACGGAAACGTATTGTCTTTGACAGGTTGTTCTTCACTTTGTAGATTACTTTGAAGCAGGAGGCGTTTGTTGAGATGGAATGACCATAGTGGTGACGAGATGTTCGATTATTGCACTCCTTATACGGCCACTACTTCCTTTCTGCAGCCACGCTGGATAGTGTTCTTTGACCTTTTTTGACAGGATGCGCGTTGAACGAACGATGTACCTGGCTCCACAGCAACATGTGAACTGATATATACACATAGAAGTGGTCAGGTGCGGAATCTTGTCTTTTGGGCTTCTGCAGATCAGCGGGCGACTGGAGAACACTACTCTCAATGTTGCCGCAAAGAAAGTTCTTCTTAAAGAAGTGGAAATTCTCCTTCTAAGGACATCACTGAGTAGGTCACCTTTGAAGTCGAGGTTCATATAAAGTATCTTTTTTGGCACGGATGGCGTCTCTTGCTTTTGCATTTTCTGTTTGATGTTTTTGTCTACGAATCTTGATGGATAACCGTTTTGTATGAAGATTTCTTTCAGGAAGTGTAGTTCTTCTTGCTCCAGGGTATCAGAGCTGCAGATGTGTCGAACGCGAATGGCAAAAGATCTCATTAGGTTTCTTTTTCGACTTATTGGTACCCAGCTGTAGAAGCTTGTCAGTTGGCCGTTTCATGGAAAGAGACTCTTCGCTGAACTATTGGTCTTCTGTCTATTAATTATCCATGAATAACCAAAAGAGTCCATCAAGTCGAGGAAGAGGACAATTACTCGCCATTAACATTGGCTTGTAGAAGACGTTGGAATTCATGCACTGACCATTGGATCGGGGGTCCTAGGGGTGAATAGTCGACAAGCTCACCGTGTAACCGGGAAGGTGGTTGAGTTCGAACCCCAGTGGGTGTAGGTACTGTTAAACAATCCCAAACAAAGGAGATACAAATGTCTAGTACTCTTCACTCTACTGAATGATCCTCTCTAACTGACATCAGCCTATTGATCAGACAGACAAGCAACTCAATCAATCAATCACTAAAAAAAGACAACTCACCTCTAAAAAATGATAATAATTATTTAATTGTTTCTCTAATAATTCCGCTCGTTCAATAGCACTATCCAGTGTTGTCATAAGACTTAATACTTGTGATTCAGACGCCATAATTGAATGAACATTTGTCTATAATATAATATAACCAATAAAAATAAATAGATACAATACACTACAATTTTTATTAAATAACACACAGTTAAAGATGAAAATTCACTATGGTGTTTACTTTGAGAACTGAAATTATCCATTAATTATTATTATGATTGTTTCCTTTAATTCCTAGAGGAACATAGGGCTTCAGCCACACGTCTCCATGGCGTTCGGTTCTCTGCTAGAGTCTTCACCTGGCTCCAAGTCTGCCCACAAGTTTTCATCTCCCCTTCACATGACCTCCTCCAAGTCACCCTTGGACGACCAACCGGCCGTTTCCCTTTCGGGTTCCACTCGAGCAATGGCTTGTCTAGTGATGTCACTCACTTGATGGTTTCCTCAAAGTATGGTCAATCCACCTCCATTTCTTCCTGCTTATTTGTTGCACAATCGGTTCCTGGTTGGTTCGTTCCCAAAGATCCCTGTTGCTGATCTTTTCTGACCGGCCATCTGATCTTGAGTATTGAGCGAAGACAGCTGTTGATGAAGGTCTGTAGTTTGTTTGAGGTGCTCTTCGTGACGCGCAGTGCAAGTCTCTGATCCGTATAGTAAGTAGCACTGACTTCACATTGGAGTTGAAAATCCGGATCTTATTTTTGATGTTGAGTAGCGCTGTTGACCTCCACACAGACTTGAGAGTAATGAAAGCTTGTCTTGCTTTCCCGATCCTTGCTTTGATATCCTCATCAGTTCCGCCTGTAGTTGAAACGATGCTTCCCAGGTAGGTAAAGGAGGTTGTTTCTTTCAGGTTCCTCCCATTTATGCTGGCTGATTGTTGTCAGTTGTTGCCCAGGAATCTATTATTATTATTATTATTAAAACACCAACTTCGTACATTATGAGCACGAAGAGATGTGCTACACAATACCTCATAGTATGTGTGAAGGTTGGGAGACTTTCCCAGACACTTAGACTGGTGCAGGTGGTTGTTTCAAGGGGTCACCCCTCTCCCACCTGCCTTTGACTTGATGTCCGAACCAGCGCACTAGTGTTCCCATGGTTGACCATGACCAAAACAGATTGAAACGGCATTCGATCCTTTTGGATTATGTAGCTGATGTATTATTGATAAGAGTATAAACCCTTGGGCACTGTGATGGTGGAGTATAACTCCATTATGGATAAGATTTTATTTTGATAAGTCACACAGTGTTATACAGCACGTGATATTAACTGATGACCACGTTTCGACCACATTTTATTACTGCTCATAATAATATCAAGCTGCTTACTCACACAACTCTCTTGCTTCATTTATATACATGAGTGGAATTGATGATTAGACATTTTAATAAAAATCAGTAATATAAGATAATGTACATTCAGAAATAATAATATGAGTGTTATCAATCAAATACAATCAGATGGGAAATAAGACGAGTGTTTTATAGTGATAATAAGTAACTTGTTAGAATGTTGTGATGTGCTTGAACTGAAATCGAATTTTAAGATTATTTATTATCCTCTTCTAATTTGACTGGTGGCGACAATATCTTCCATATCTCTGGTATTTGTGTTGAGTTACTTCTATTGTACGTGTTGTGTTGGATGTAGACTCGATGAACAAGGATTCAGTAATCAACCACTCTTTGTCTCTCTCCCCGCCCACATACCAATTTATTACTTCTTAGAATTGTAACCCTCTCCTTCCTACCCTATTGTATGGTTGTGTTAATGCATGCAGTGCATGTAGTGCCGAGCTAGGAATATATGAGTAAAACACACCCTAACCATCGCCCCAGACAATATAACTTCACAAAATCGTCGATTGATTTTCCCTCCTTACCTAGCACTCGGCCGACGCCTAACCCCAATATTACTCACCCTATTACATCGACCATCTAGCACTGGAGATAGAACGCAGACACCTATGATCAAAGACAGCTAGCTAGTCTTGTCAAGTCTTCCACTCTCAATGACCAGGTCTCACAGCTATAAAGGAGGACAGAGTAGAATGTTGAGCAGTACACCCGACCTTTGGTCGACAGCCAGCCAGATATCACGTCTACGTCAGAGACGGCGTAGACTGGCATATGCAAAACTAGCCTTCTGTATCTGTGATGAGATTTCGTCAGCGATCGACCCTCTGCGGTTGACTGATGCAAGTTCCCAAATAAGTGAAATGCTCAACATGCTCTACCAATCACTTCACCCCCTAATTCTAAGCTAGGAGTCAATGTAGTCCAGTCCAGTCCTGTAGCCTGATCATCTTACATTTGACAGGAGCGCAGCTCAAGGTGTTCAAAAGATTCTGCTGCCTTATGTCTGCGTCTTCGCCTAGAAGGCAGGACTATATCATCTGCATATTCTAAGTCAACGAGATTATTCCCCAGGCTGATTTCACAACTCACTCGTGCCCACCATGATCACAGTAAACCAACTTTTTACAAAGCAACATAGATAAATATCTAATGACTTACACCTTCAATATGTGCTAATTGTTGTTGTAAACGTTCTGTCAATTGAGCAGCATTGAACAACGTTGATTCATTGTCAAGTTCATCTAAAAACTGACGTATATCATCTTCTTCGCGTTTAGTCAATGAACGATAACCATCTGACAGTGGTGAACCAACCTCCCCGACCTTATTTGCATCTGAAGGACGTTCACCACCACCACCATTGCCATCTCCACCTCCAGCAGTACCACCACCACCTGTAGCTGATGAAGCCTCCACATCAGGATCTAAAATTGAAGCGAAGGTTGGAATGTTTCAATAAACAGGCAAAGTAAATAATAATTAATAGTTATTTATTAACAATCAATATTTATTGATCAAGTTTGTAATTTCTTGTTTATTTACCTTGACCGAATTGAGTTGTCGTTTACTTGGTAAGTACCATCAGCCCCAACGGGTTGATCTCTGACGAAATCTCAGCACGAATACAGAGGGCTAGTTTCGCATATGCCAGTTTACGCCGTCTCTCGCGTAGACGTGATATCTGGCTGGCTGGCTATCGACAAAGGGCGTGTGTACTGCTCTGCAGCAGTTCACTACGTCCTCCTTTATGGCTGTGAGACCTGGCCATTGAGAGTGGAAGACATGAAAAGATTAGCTGTCTTTGATCATAGGTGTCTGCGTTCTATCTCCCGTCTGAAGTGGTATAATAAGGTGAGCAATATTGAGGTTAGGCGTCGAGTGCTAGGTAAGGAGGGGAAATCAATAGACGAGGCTGTGAAATTACATCGACTGAGATGGTTAGGACATGTGTTACGTATGCCTAGCCACCGCCTTCCTCGACGGGCAATGTTAGCTGATATAGGGTCAGGCTGGAAAAGAGCTAGCGGCGGTCAAACGAAAACATGGCACCAGTCAATGAAATCCACAACAGTTAGTCTAGGCCACGTAGGAAGGTGTAGACTTCCTGGTTGGGGTCCTCGGAATGATGGTAAAAACCAATTAAGGCGAGATAATTGATGATATGGCTCAAAATCGTTCTCAATGGCTAACGAGATGCATCCACTCCTTGTGACTTATGATTTCCAATGAAACTGTTTTGTTCTTCGTTATTACTATTCCTTTGTCTCACACCTCTGTTTACTGTCTCTAATATGCATTTCTCCTACTTTCTTCTCTTGCTTTGTGTGCTACAAGTGAGTGTGGCGACTTGAACTGCCGCACATATGTGCAAAGTTCTATGTCGAAAACAGACAGACAGACAGTTGTCGTTTATGAGAGCTCTTTTAACAGATAGATAGCTACAGATATTGGCACAATTATTAGTTCAAACTTCCTCATTTTTTATTCAAGTGCTAATTCGCACAAATATAACTGGTTACAATTAAGCTTGGATATCAATGTGATACTCACGAGCGACTGGCCCCCTATTCAGGTAGGTAGTTACCTGGTAGGTTCTAGTAAGAAGTCATGACCAGTGGACTACAGAAGGTCTGCTGTGTGTATGAGGACAAATACTCGCCACATATGACATTGGCCAGTGCCAGTCACGCTATACCGTGAACTGGCAGAAGTTGGAATTCATGGGCTGACTATTGGATCGGGTTCCAGTGGTTAAATGGTGTACGAACTTACGTTGTAACCGGAAGGTGTCCTGGGTTCGAACCCCTACGTACTAATGAAGAGTCCCAAGCGCTAGGACGAAACATCTGTCCAGTACTCCCTTTTGATTTACCAATGTTTCTCTAACCGATATCAGCTCACAATGAATTCCTTATTTTGTATGCGTGAAGATAGCTGAAAAAATCACAGAACCGATAGGAAAAAAGCATCGATCAGGTTTGAAAAAAGCTAGAACATGGTGGTCAAACCAAAACATGGTTTCATCAGTCAATGAAATCCATAATAGTTAGTTCAAGTCAGCCAGCGACGTAGGGAGGTGTTGACTGCCATTCTGGTTGGGGTACTCCGTATGGTAGGCTGGAGGCAATTGGTGATATGGCTCAAAATCGTCGTTCTGGGTGGTGACTGGTGCAGATGCATTCATTCCTTGATGATTTGTCATATCCAATAGAACTGTATTGTTCTTCCATATTTACCCCACTCACACCTCTGTTTATTATATCTCTTTACTCTCTTCTGTTGGTTTATCTGCAACATGGCGGAAGTGTGACAACTGAAACTGCTGCACATCTGTACGAAGTTCTATACTGAAACTAGTCCATCAGTCAAAATATGGTTTTGAATCTATTATAACAGTCAAGTTGAAGTTTCATCGATTTTTAATTAGGCGGAACACACACATCAGTCAGCGAAGAGATCACCTTCATTATACAGTGTGTCAAATGACACCCACAAGTCTTCAAAGGTTATTCTACTAAGTTAGTAATTAAAACTCAAATCTAAGTGTATAAGTAATAAGAATGTGTATATAAAACCAAACAGGGGAATGCATCCTACATAATTGAGAAGGTTAGAATGATGACCAATCATTTCGAGGGAATTGGATAAGAAACAAGACAACGACAAAAATTGAAAATGAAGTTACGAGAATTAAAAAATTTTTAAAAAAATTAAAATGATAAAGGAATACACATCACCATGGTTACTGTAAAACCGACATTTATATCACACAACATAAAACAAAAATATTCACGCAAATAAATATATTAAGCTTAGTAAATGACTTTTTCAAAAAAAAAAACACCGTAACACTGCACCATATATCCGCCAATTATGCAGTGCACACAGGGTATTCCTTGGAAAATAAAGTCAGTGAGAAATACAACCACCAACACCATTACCAGAAACAGACTTCAGTTCAAGAGCATTTGACTATGGTATAGATCTTTTACGCTTGTTCCAACTTATACGTACCTACAAGCTTGCCTTGTAACTAGAAGGTTCTTGATTCGATCCCAGGCAGGCTTTAGACGAGGGAGAGGGTGTATTGATCATATATTCACCCTTCAACAGATTCTGGGATGGAACATACGCACACTGACCGGCGTCCAACAATCATTATATTTCTTGACCTAAAGGCGGAATTCGATTCTGTCGACCGACAGGTAATCTGTCGACAATTGACTGTGAAGGCAATGCCGAGGAAATACATCGCACTGATCAAGGCACTCACTCTACTCGCACTCATCCAGTCAGCAAGGTGAGAGCTTACGGCGAGTTACCATCTGAACTGGTGACAAATAGTGGTGTCCGTCAGGGATACCCTGCCCACTATCCCCATTTCTATTCAATTTCATCATAGATGTACTAATAGAATTAACCCTAACTGCTGGCTTCAGCGACTCAAAAATTGACTTGTTACCATCAGGGAGTAATTTCGTTGACTAAGAATAAGCAGACGATATAGTCATCCCTCCTAGGTGAAGACGCTGAGCCACGTAGGAAAGTGTAGACTTCGTGACTGGTTGGGGTCCACGGGATGATAAAAACGAATGAAGGCTGGAGACAACAGGTGATATGGCTCAAAATCATTCTCAATAGCTTGCGGAGATTCATCCACTCCTTGTGACTTATAATACCCATTGAAACTATACTGTTCTTCGATATTAATATTCTTTTTGCCTCATATCTCTGTTTACTGTCTCTATTTTGCGTTTCTTTTTAATTCCTCCTCCGGTGCAAAGTTCTATGTTGAAACCAGTCAGTCCTGATGAGGTCAATCATGAATAAGCAGTATTGTTGAAAAGTCCCAAGAGCTAGGATGAAACAGCTGGCTGTCCAGTCCTCTCTAATAGTTTTCAAAGGTTCCCCAACTGACATCCAATCCGTGATGAAACATAGAACAAATTAAATACCCACAACCAAAATAAAAATACATCTTGAACATTTCTCACTGTTATTGTCAACAGATATGAGCGGTTAATTCTGATTTTAACTTACCAGTCTTACACACTGTATGCAGAGTTATAAACAAACAAGATTTGAGAATAATAAAATTAAAACTAATCAAAATGATAGTAATAATAATTATTATTACTGTGGTGAGTGCTACTTATAATCAGATATAAGTAGTATATCAATAAACAAGTTCAGAAATGCAACAATATGTTTCCAACACTGGAAAAAAGTAATCGAAGAAGAAGAAGAGAACTGTGAGAAGAACGTTGGACGCGCTGTGCAGAACCCAGCAAATGTGATGATATTCGACCAATTTGCAAATGACATGCAAATAAAGCATTGGAGACATGGTATACCAAATTTATGCAGCCACAATGAGTTTGAATAAAGCAAGAAAAACAACAGTAATTTTTATCAGTAATTTTTATTAAAACAATTATTCATCACACTAGTTTCTTATCCAAACATCCTGTATATTTTGTTATTTTTTACATTTCTAACCCCAATTGCACATTGTCAATTTTCTTAGTTATTATGCTACTTTGTTTTAGTTTTACCCATCCCCCTGTTTATTATGGCATTCTAATTCCTAATTGTAATTTTTATTAATTCAACCCCTAACCAAAAATTGTTCTGGAACTTTCCCATCCATTTGATATAAATACACGAATGTACAGCCTAGATGATGACTTCGTCGAAAAGAAAATTTTCTTCGCTGCAACTGTCTTTTTATTCCCTATAAAAACAACAGTGCTTTGTGCAGAATAAGAAGATGGTACCATCATTGTTTATTTCGTTGGCTTCTCATCAGCTCTACTGCTTACAGCCTAAATGAATCATGAGGTAGGTTTATGTACAGAAAAGTTTTAACATACTTGCAAATTTTTCATGGTGTCAGTTGACCAAAAGTTCCACAGTAAGTGAACAGTGCTCAGAAAATTCCGCTTATATAGTTTTTACACAGGCAGTTCAAGTTTAAACAAAATAAATGTATGCATACAATGGTAGAGGAGTTACGTAATAAAGCAGAGGCGTAAGATGTGGTGACTAATAAATTTGGAACAATTTATTGAGTTCAACTCAAATCATAGAAACAAGAGACAAACAAAATTACACTATGTCAAAAGGGGAGGGAGGGCTGACATGGAATGGACAATACTTACATTTTAATAATTTTTGTCCAAATAGCTATAAACGAGCACTAGTCAAGACTCTGTACTATAGAGCGAGGAGAATATGCTCTGCAGAGAAACTAGAGGAAGAATTTACGATTCTCGAAAAGGTGTTGAAAAACAACGGTTATCCTCAAAGATTCATTAACAAATATGGAAGATGTGAAGGCTCAAATATCAAACAAGTCACAGTTGAAAAAAGCCTGTCTTCACTCAACTAGATTTTAAAGGGGAAGCATTGCAGCAATGGTCAA